GAGAGGAAAGGGAAGAAAAGGAATAACTTATTCAAGATCTTAATACACTATGCCGAACTTACAAAGATCACCTCCGTTGACGCCCGTTAAGGCGGTGCTTATGCCTGGAAAATCCACCTCTGAACCAGACCTACCAGCTGTCTGCACTCAAAAGACTGGCGACACTAACATCACCACTCGCGCCAAACGTCTTCGCATAGAAGACTCTCCAAACACGCTGGATGACTCAGCCGACTCTTTTGATATCTTCAGAGCCGAATTACTTGATATGCTGAGTAAATGGAAGACAGAGCAGGAAATTTTCCTTACCACGTGGACGACAAACCAAGGCGCAATCTTATCAAAGCTGACTAACGACGTTAGGGAGCTCAGGACACAGTGCCTAGCAATACAGGGATCAAATGCTGAAATTGAACGTAGCACATCGTTTATAAGCAGGCAATATGATGAAATGGTTAAGAAGGTGGAAAACTTGGAGAAGGAAAGGGGTGATAATGCAGCGAACATCCTGCGCCTGCAGAACCAGTTACAGGACTTGCACTTTCAATCACGGGTGGCTAGTATTGAAATCCGTAATCTTCCCACAAAGGAACAGGAAAAGCCTGACGATCTGGTGACTGCTCTGGCCGGTGTTGGGAAACTGGTTGGGGCGGATGTGCAAGCGTCCTGCCTTCGTGATATTTACAGACTGCCCGGAAAACCGGGCATCTGTAGACCTGTAGTAGCGGAATTTGCCTGCGTAAATACAAGAAACGAATTTTTGGCTAGGGTCAGGAAATATAACAGAGAGCGTACCACAAATGATAAATTGAACACACATGCCATTGGCCTGGTTGGAAATAAGCAGCCACTTTACGTAGATGACCACCTACCACCCACAATAAGAAAGTTATCTTATAATACTCGTCAACTTGCCAAAAGCCTAAACTTCGCATGTTGGTACTCAAACGGAAAAATCTTGGTGCGTAAAAGTCCAGCGGAGAAACCTATTCACATAAGATCTGAAAATTGCCTTGCACTTCTATCACAGCAACAATGACTATTTAGCTATGTGGAACATCTATCACTAACTGGACGACAAATTTGTTGCTGTGCTGAAACTCATTGTTGTTTTTGTAATATTCTAATGGACTTACTTACACTTTATTTCATATATACAACTACTCGCCCTCACACAACCACACTTTCATTTACACTAACAGACACATATATGATTATCAATACCTGCCATTTCATAAATACACACTCGTTTAGAAGCCATAATTGTTGTGATGCCGATTTTCCTCCGCCTCGCTTGAATGGCGTCAGCTCACCGCCTAAACCATCTTAAACATTCGATACCACAAATAACTTGATGCGAGAGATTGACCACTTTGATATCACGGATCCGGTTAGTTGCGCTCCTGAGGATTGCTTATCTTACTTGAATCGTCCTAGGCAATATTTGAAAATATTACAGCAGAATATTCGAAGCCTAAATTGTAATTTTCAGGAGCTCAGTGTCCTGTTGAAGAGGCTCGATTTGACCTGTGATGTCATTGTGCTCTCAGAGTGCTGGTTACAACAAATGGTGAACACACCTACCTTAGAAGGATTTTACTCATATAAAACAACAGACAACTACAACCAGAATGATGGAGTGGTTGTTTATACAAGGAACAGTTTGGATTGTAGTGTGGAGGAACCTTTTTTAATGGAAGCCAATAGTTTGATAATCAAAATTAAAAACGATACTGTCATAATAGCGATTTACAGACCACCGAGCTTTAGAACCATTAATATTTTCTTAAACTCATTGCACAACTTGTTGGAGGACTTGTCTTCGTTTAGAAATATTATCATTATAGGAGATGTAAACATTGACTTATTAGGAACAAGCAATGAGACTATTTCTTACTTAGACACTCTAGTGTACCACGGACTTCTTCCTGCCATAAACACTGCAACCAGAGGTAGCTCATGTCTGGACCATGTAATTCTGAAGTCAAAGCAAAACTCGATTACTTTCTCGCTACCTACCACATTAACGGATCATGAAGCAGTGCTTTTTTGTCTAGAGACCAGAATTAAGACATTTCCAAACAGCAACTTTATCGAAAAGATTAATTTTTCAAACATAATATCAGAATGTAAAAACACAAACTTTAATCTAATTCTACAGGAATACGACCCTAACCTAGCTATCAACCTTCTAATTAATAGTATTCAGAAACTAATATTTACTAACACAATTAGAATAAAAATACCATGTAACAAAGTAACGCTCAAACCGTGGATCACAGTAGGCCTATTGAGATGCATCAAAAACCGTGACAGAATGCACTATAGACTGAAAAAAGAACCAAATAATAACATAATCGCAACTACGTACAAGAGATATAGAAATTTCTGCAACACGATATTGAAAAAGTGTAAGAGACTTTATGAAAAGCGGGAGCTAGAGCAGTCAAAATGTAACAGTAAGAAATTATGGAACAGCATCAAAAAAATCACTAACCTAAATAAACCAAAACAAGTACACACAGAACTGCTAAATCTAGAAGAAACTCCTCAGGAATCCTGTAATGCGGTAAATAAGTTCTTTGCAAATGTGGGAGCCCAACTAGCGAGTAAGATTGCTTCTGCATTGCCCGTGTCTGGTATAGCACTGAAGAATACTCAATGCTCATCTTTTGTTTTATCGGACACGGACTGTGAGGAGGTAAGCGCCATTATCAGCGCTCTGAGAGTGGATTGTGGCGCTGGCTTCGATGGGATTTCAAATAGGGTACTAAAGTTGACCAAGGAGTACATAGTTGCTCCGCTCACGGAGATTTTTAATAGATGTCTGAGTAGTGGCCTCTTCCCCGATGCTCTCAAGCATCCCATAGTCATTCCCATCCACAAAGGGGGTAGCAGGGATTCTGTCAATAATTATCGACCAATTTCGCTTCTTCCATCTTTGTCCAAGATATTAGAAAGGATCTTAAATAAGAGGCTCATTAACTATTTAGAAAGGAAAAAAATCTTATCAGATAACCAATTCGGATTTCGGCCTGGTAAATCGACCGACGATGCATTACATACATTTGTGAACCTAGTTGCAACTAAAATGGACAAGAAGCAAAAGTGTATCACTCTCTTCCTGGACTTAGCAAAGGCCTTTGACACAGTCTCTCATGACAAACTGCTGGCGAAGCTTGAGAGCATGGGCATAAGGGGAAACGAACTTGGTTTATTTAAGAGCTACCTGAAAAATCGAACTCAAAAAGTGAGAATAGGAAATACAGTGAGCGAGGCATATAACGTTAAATTTGGCGTGCCACAAGGCAGTATATTGGGTCCGACTCTTTTTCTGGTCTATATCAACAGTCTGTGTCAACTAAATCTAGCGAACTGCAAAATTATCTCGTATGCTGATGACACAACCCTTACCTTTTATGGAAACACATGGGAGGAAGTGTTGAATACGCCCAAGAGGGCTTTAATAAGGTCTGTCTGCACCTGGCCTCAGACTTATTGACCTTAAATGCCTCTAAGACCTGCTTTCTAGCCTTTTCACTGAGTAATTTGGACACGGTCTCACACACAATACAATTTCACTCGTGCTCACAACAATTTAGTACAACCTGTAATTGTCCACATATCAATAAAACTAAAACTGTGAAATACCTAGGCATAACCATCGATGACAAGCTAAGTTTTAAGGAACATATAAAAAATGTCTCCAACAGAATTCGAAAGTTATCATATGTCTTCAAAAATCTTAGACACGTTGCGGACTCCAATCTCATTCGAATGGTGTACCTGGCGCTCTGTCAATCCGTCATAACTTACTGCATTTCATCATGGGGAGGAGCCGCCAAAACCCACTTGCTCGTATTGGAAAGAGCTCAAAGGCTTTTACTTAAAATTATTTTTTTCAAACCGCAAATTTTCCCAACAACCAAACTTTATGAGCAGGCGGAAGTCCTAACCGTACGACAATTATTCATATTAGCTGTAATCCGAAGACAACATGCTGAAATAAAATATAACCCAAAAAATCCAATTCTGAAAACACGACGCAACTATCAAATCTGTCCAACAAACCCAGCTAGAACAGCCTTCAGCCAGTCTTTTTTCTTCTTTCAAGGCCCTCATCTGTATAACATCATAAACAAAAAACTGTCCCTGTACCCAGTCACAAGAAAAATGTGTAAAGAAAAAGTAACAAAATGGCTTCAAACGCTTACTTACGAAGACACTGAAAAATTAATAACCACTCACAAAGGTATATAGTTCATACACACGCAGGCACGAACCGCGTAAACACAAAACACACACATACATAATCACACACGCATATGCACGCACACACACATACACACACACACACACACACACACACACACACACACACACACACACACACACACATTCAAACATGTTTACAACAACCATAGGTAGACTTGGTTATGGTAATATGTACTTAGGGCATTTCTGTTTTTTTATCCAATTTCTTCTTTTTTAATATTTTTTTTTTTTTTATTTTTCGTAAACTCCTAATGTAATTTATTTTTCATTGAATATTAAAACTTATATCAACAGAAACTGGTAAACTAATAAAAAAGACAAACTCAGAGGTTAGAAGGCCAGGAGACCCGTAACACAGGCTCTGCTTAGTACGGGCTCCTGTCTCCCATTAATTGATGAATTAATGAACATTTGTTAAGTTTGTTGTTATGTACTTACCTAAAATATGTTTTTTACCTGTTATGATTTTATATATTATGTAACAATTGGGAGAAAAATAAATAAATAAATAAAAAAAAAAAATAAAGTGCCATCAAACAGAAACCTAAGAAGAATCGGAATGCTAGAAGAATCGGATGTCCGATAGTATGTAGATCGCTGGAAAGACCAATGTAATTTTTCTTTATCTTTTCTCAACTTATCTTCTTGCAGACGTGGAAGGCTATTTAGATTCTATCCTATCAAGACATCTCATCATACATAGGTATAATTTTTAATTTTTACAGGAAGAGAATGAGTTTGCCAAGAAGTTTTCTAAATCAAATCAAGGGAAAATTGAGGCTGAGCAGGAGATCATACCTTTCATATCCAACGAGGTAAGTATATGAGAGTGAGTTGTTATGTTATTCTTCAGTATCATCCATATACCTAGTAATAATATAATCTTTTAAAATCTTTTTATAATAACTATCGTGAGACATACTAAATTAACTAAAATCGCGGGTTACTCACGTGATGTACAAGTGAGCTGCTCGACATCGCCGCGACCGCGCACGTTGCTCATGAGGAAGAAACCCTCTGCGGTTCGAAACTAGTAGAGCTTTTCTCAGTATATTCTCGTGAGTAACCCGCGATTTTAGTTAATTTTATAATCTTAATAATATTTTGCCTCACCCAAGATTTCCACTGGATACCTTTGCTTGTTTTCATATATCGAAATGGTATCGAAAGCGAATTTTAGTGGGCCTTGTCTGTAGAAAAACGCACAGCCATTGTGTAACCACTAACGATTCTGTATTTTATTTTTAATATTGGTAACGGTTTACTGCTCTGAAAGTGAAGGTCCGGAGCTTAGGAACTTGATTTGGATAGGTTGTAGTCCAGATAACTTTGGAAACCACTACTTTAGTCTTACTGCATCTTTGACAGAATGGTCGCAACTGCGACTGCCCCGAAAGAGGTCTCGGGTTCGATTTCTGGGTCGTGCAAAATATTACCTGTTTTTTTTTAATCATTCTCATTAGTAGCACGGTGTCTGGAATTATGCTCGGTCTATACCTATTGATAGTGCAATAGGCTCACCTAAAAGTGGGTGTTACATTGTATAGTGGCATTAAGTGCCGTAATGTGCACCTCTTCCTACCTCTTCGGGGATAAAAGGCGTGATGTTATGTTATGTACTCTAGTCTTAACAATAAATATCTCTTTCCAGTACATAAAAGTGACAGTGGATAAGGTGACAGGACTGCTGGAGTCTATCCAGCATGTGGATGGAGTCAGGATTGACGTGGGCCAGAACTTCTATTTCTACGCTCAAGGCCAACAGACCCTGCAGTCAGGGGCCTACAGCTTCAGACCAGATCGACAGAGACCCGTTGCTGTAAGTTGGAATTTATTGAGTCGTGTGTTCTTCGGGATAAAAAGTACCCAGTGTTATGCACAGGATACTAAAGTATAATCATACCAAGTTTCATCGTAATAGGACCGGTAGTTTTTGCGTAATGCGTGAACATACATACAGACAGACAGACAAACACATACAAATAAAATAATCACAGTTTTGGGGTCGGTGTCTAGAGGTATATAGTAACATCCCCTACTATTATTTTTGTAATATTTTCACTGTACAGAATTTACACAGTTTTATTACATATATAGAATTTTTTAACGGGGTAAATTCATCGAATGTCTGCTCCCGCCTAATTGAGGCGGGAGGGCGTGTCAGACTCTTACTGACTAAAAACCACCCCGTTCCTTCTCCTGCACGTCGAGCCGGAGCCCCGGTAACCCGTTAGGTTCTCCGCGGCTACATGTATAGAATAGATATCGATGTAGTAACTTTTATATATACTAGATACTGGATGCTAGATAGTTGATATGTGGTAATAGTAAGTAGGGTGTTCCTTGTCTATGGTCCACAGATAATATAGATATTTAGTATTCTATGATTTCAGTAAAATAATAAGTCTGTGGACCATGGACAAGACTTCATTTTTAATTTTTTAGTTTTTATTTTTTAATTATGGTATGTGTATTCTGCGCAGAAATAAATGGTTTTTCTTTCTTTCTCCTTTCTATGTATAGATAAACTTGACAATATCACTTTCTGCCCAGGTAACAGACAAGGTAGCCTACAACACGATCCGAGGGTCTCTAGTCAAGGAGATCAGACAGCGGTTCAGCGACTGGATCACTCAGGTCATCAGGTTGTACCGCGGTGAGGAGTTTGTGGAGATGGAGTGGATTATTGGACCTATACCTATTGGGTAAGCAGGAACCATGATGATATGCATTAAGGAATTATTTCTTTAGACAATAATGTTACCAATATGGCTACCCAAGACGAAGCTATTAGTACTCAAAACCCATTTTTGGCTAGGTATCCTTACTATATACTATATAATATTATAAATCGGAAAGTGAGTTTGTTTGTTTGTTCCGCTTTCACGCCGTAACTACTAAACCGATTGCTTTGAATTTTTGCAGACGTAAAGTTAGAAGTCTGGATTAAATAATAGAGTACTTTTTATCCCGGAAAAATTTTATATTCTCGAGGGACAACAAAATTATTGTTATAGATGGCGCTGTGTGTCTTGGTATATGTCACATAGGCTACTTTTTATTTAATTTGTGACGCGAGCGAAGCCGCGGGTAAAAGCTAGTTAGTTATAAGTTGAAAAAAGTCTAGTTATAAAGATAAAAAAAATACATGCAGATCGTAACCATGAGTATCTGTAAAAAGGATTTTGGATCCGGTTTTAGTCAATTATAATGAAAATTTCATTTTTCGATAATTCTCTCCGTTCGATGCACATCGGACGGAAAATGCCTCGATCAGATTTTTTATGGGATAAGCCGGTAAACGAGCAGACGGATCACCTGGGTACTTACTCTTGAAACCAATCTCAATTTCAATACAATTCCAATCCGATAAAATCTCAATAATTATTCAATGTCAAAACTATACAACCCCTATCGTAGCTGTGAAAATAGCATTCAGAGTACGGAAAGCCAAACTCAATAGGTACCATTTAGTTTATTCAATATGCACGCAATACGGATGCAATGGGCGCTAGTCTTGCGACTCAAGAGTACGAAATATCACAATACTAATGTCGATCGATCGGAATTGGATTCAAGAGTAAGCCCCCTGATGGTGAGCAATCGGCGTCGCCCATGGACACCTGGAATACCAGAGGCGTTACAAGTGCGTTACCGGCCGCGAAGCAATCTTAGCGTAGGTAGCTATTAATTTTTTCGATAATTTCATTTTTCGATAATTCTCTCCGTTCGATGCACATCGGACGGAAAATGACTCGATCAGATTTTTTATGGGATAAGCCGGTAAACGAGCAGACGGATCACCTGATGGTGAGCAATCAGCGTCGCCCATGGACACCTGAAACACCAGAGGCGTTATAAGTGGGTTACCGGCCGCGAATCAATCTTAGCATAGGTACTTATTTTCCTTTTTGAAAATTAGAATTCTCAAAATTCAACGAAGAGGCAGTGTAATTGAAAATTGTGATTTAATAGCTACATGGTACTGTACCCTCACTAGCACGGACCTGGGCAAGGAGGTGGTGAGCCTCTTCACCACAAACATCACCAGCAATGGCGAGTTCTTCACCGACTCCAACTCCCGGCAGATGATGAGGCGCACGTGTTGGAACGAATCTGCAAGTAGGTTGAGTAAGTTTGTTTGTTCATTTATGTTTATTTTATAATTTATATAGAATAAGACATCTATGACAAGGACTGACAGCAAAAAGCTTTAACCCCTCGAGCGTCCTTATGAGCACCCGGTGGATCCTAAGAAAAAATGCTCCATGCTGCTTTCTCTTTTATAAAATCTATTATTAATATTTTGTTTTTATTTTAACTGTATTTTTTATTTCTATTGTAATGGTCCTTGTTTTCGTGTGCCAATGGCCAAATAAATGCATTTTCTTTCTTTCTTTCTCCAAATGTCACGTGTGCACCCGTTGGATCATAAGGAACGCGGACGCTCGACGGGTTAAATAGAGAGGAGTGGATCCTTCCACTAGGCCTTTACCCTGAGTTGGGACGATCATTGCTGAAAAAAAATAAAAAACAAAAACGAAACACATCGTGAGTGTTGTTTACAGGTCTCTGTGACACCAGTTGACGACCCATTTAGATTATATTGGCTACTATTTAACTCGAAAACATGGGTGAAGCCACAGGCCTTTTGCTATGGTTAAGGGCGGCAAACGAACAAACTGATCCCCTGATAGAAAGCAATCGACACCGCCCATGGTCACAGGTTCGCTGTCAGCTTCTTGGGACTAAGCAATTTGAAGATCGAGGGATTGGAGGATTGGGGACGGGAACGGGGAAGGGTAAGGGGGAATTAGCCTTCCAGTAAATTCACTCAAACTTCACATAAGCGTTGTTTCATGATATAGTGAATTAGCCACAATGGTGCGCTTATCTCGTAGCTTTCTGCCTCGCACAACAAAACTGTGGAATGATCTGTCGTCGGCGGTATTTACGAATCGATACGACCTTCAAACCTTCAAGAAAAGAGCGTATTGCTTTTTAAAAGGCCAGCAACGCACCTGTGGCCTTCTGATGTTGCGTGTGTCCATTGGTGGCGCTGATCGCTTACCATCAGGTGATCCGTCTGCTCGTTTGCCTCCTATTCCATAAAAAAAATAGTACGTAATTATCTGAATACACATTTTATCACCTGGAGGTTTAAGACGCCTGCTTCTCATGCATGACGGTGCGGATTCGAAACCTACCAACGGCAAGTACCAATGTGACTTTTCCGAGTTATATGTACTTTCTAAGATTATTCAGAAACCACTGACAAACGGTGAAGGAAAACATCGTGAGGAAACCTGGGCTTATAATTTCTAATTATTAGTTTGAAATTGCCAACCCGCATTGAGTAAGCGTGGTGATTAATGCCCAAACCTTCTCCATGTGAGAAGAGGCTTTGCTCAGCAGTGGGCATTATAGGCTGTTGATGATGATGATGACATTTTATCACCAGATCAGCAGATAAAGAAGCCGATAGCAGCGTGCTACTACCCGGTAACATCACGCATATGTATACACTCGGGGAACGCCAGTGTGGAGATGTGTATCCTAGTCGACAGGACGGAAGGAGGAACATCATATAATGATGGGGAGATTGAACTTATGGTTAGTGGAATCCTGTCGTTTTATCTAGGTTTTAGGTGACTCTGAAGATCTATGTTGACAGTAGACTGCATGGTTGGTGCGGTGGCTGGGCAACTGAGTGCTGTGCAACGTGTAGAATCCGATTCCCCCACCGAGCAACTCTTTGTGTGATCCACAAATTGTTGTTTCGGATCTGAGGGTTGTAAACTTGTATGTTTGTAAACGCACCCACGACACAGTTGAAAATTTAAGTAGGGTATAATACATTGGCCACCCTCTCTACCTCTTATTTTTGTTGTTTCCTTATTATTATTATTATTTTTTGATTTAACAGTTTAGTTGTAGTTAATTTTAAGTTGTAAATATTTATGTAGTTATAAACAATGATTATTACAATAACCTTTTATGGTAGAAGAGCAAGCCTATTACTTGGATTTGTGTCTTATGTATTCATATTCGCATTGGAAATTTATTGTCATCCTTACTATCCTTACTGTTGCGGCGCCTAGCGCCTTTCCAATAGCAAACCACAACTACATGTATGATTGCCAGTTTAACAATCAGGCGTCGCGGAGCATGTTAAAATTGCTAGAAGGGTAGCCATTCATTCTCTCAGCGTCCGCTCCACTGTTAACACCCTATTTTAATTATATGTTCTTTTATTGTAAAAAAAGGGCTTTTTATTGCTCCATTGTGTACCCAAATATACATAATGGTGGCCCATGAGGGGAACTAACGCGTAAAATCAACAAAATTCGTAAATCGCAAAAGAAATCAGCACGAAAGAGTTGAAGAAGAAACGTACGTTGGCGATTTGAAAATTAAATTTATGGTGTGAAGAAGGACAAGTAGCAAGGATCGTCGAGATAAAGGCAGCACATCACGGCGAGCAGTAGTGCAGCAAAAGCAGTACCTTGTGCAGTGAAATCATCTAAAGATAAGTGCCCTTCCTTGACCTTCCCTTTGTCCTTTAATACCAACGTTCCAAGCATCCAAAATCATCCAACTGTTAAAGAGTGGCCTATCTATTGTGCGGATAATGTCATTATAAATCAAATTTAATCAATTCTTTTTAAATTTAAAGTTTTCCACTTATTTTACGTATTTAAAATCGTTTGTTTGTCTACCTACTCAAAAAAAAATTATGAAATGGAATGAAAATGAAAAAATTGTCCACCTACTTTAAATCTGCTTAGTCATAGCCCAATTATAATACCATTAAATTAAACATTCCAGGTGTTTTATCAGCCACTAGCAATCATTTGTCGACTGTGCATCACTGCGCTGCATTGTCATCAGCTGTTGCGAACCGGTTTCTTATCTACGGGCGCTCGCCGGCGAAACGAGGAGCGTGAGCTTTATACAATTTATTTATTACATAGTTGCATTCTATTGATTTAAATTCGTGCTCAGTATTGTTTGAACGTTACTTAAATAACTTCACGATGCCTAGTGACTCGGGAGATAAAGTTTTAAGACAATTAATTACAAAGCGATCGTCCGCAAAGGGTCAGATCACTAAATTTAAAAATTATCTCAGCACTTTAGAATGCAAAACAGAATTGAATGATATTGAACTAACGGAATTAAGACTTAAGTTAGCTAAATTTGAAGCATTGTCGATTCGAGTTGATGATTTGCAAGGTGAAATTGAGGTTTTGAATCCTAACAATATTGACGACGAAATTGAAGAACGCGAAACTATGGAACGAGATATTGTCATTAACATTGCCACCGCCAAAACAGTGTTGGAAAAATTTACAAATACATTAGAATGTGAACAAAGGCGTGGTTCCGTTATAGATAGTTCTTGTTTTATGGATCATCAAGAGTTTGGGTTGAAACTACCTCAAATAAAAATTGCTAAATTTGACGGTACATATTTCCGATGGCTGGAGTTCCGTGATACGTTTGAGAGCCTGATACACAAAAATGGTCGTCTTTCAAACATTCATAAGTTTCATTATTTAAATTCATATTTAGAAGGTGATGCGGCTAGAATAATTTCCAATTTGGAAGTGTCCTCCGTTAATTATAGCGAAGCCTGGAAATTAATCTGTAATCGGTACAACAACAAGAGACTTTTAATTAACCAGCACTTAAATGCACTATTTAGCGTTAAGCAACTTCCGCGCGAGTCTGAACGGTCGCTGAGGTTTTTAATAGATCATGTTACGAAGCATTTGCGGGCATTGACCAGCTTAGGACAACCAACAGATAAGTGGGATATACTACTCATCTTTATTTTATGTTCAAAATTAGACAGTAACACATTAACTAAATGGGAAGAATTCCGCAACACATTAGAAGCTGATGTACCTACTTTAGACAATTTCTTTAAATTCCTTACCGATCGCGCGGATGTGTTAGAATCGTTGAGTCGAAATAAAAACGACAACGTGCCGTCTAGAGTCATGCAATCTAATACGCGCACCACTTGCAATCACAACAATAATTATAAGCAAACAAACAATGTTACCAAAACATTTGCCAGTTCTAATATTAAAACTAATAAATCAAATATATTCTCTTGTATAATCTGCAACGAAAACCACAAAATATATGATTGCCCTACATTTAAGGCAATGAGCATCGACGGAAGGTTAAGTGAGGTAAACAAATACAAATTATGCAACAATTGTCTTAGGCAAGGTCACCCGGCTAGTGAATGCCGTATGGGACCCTGCCGCGAATGCAAAAAACGACATAATAGTTTACTCCACCGTCCAAATACCTCTGTAAATAATTGCATTTCAATTGATGATTCCAGCGAATTATTCGTTAACTTTAGTAAACAGAAGTCAAATCAAATATTACTATCTACAGCTGTCATTGAGGTAATAAATCCAATTACACAACAAAGCGAAAGGGCTCGTGCACTGCTAGATTGCGGCAGCCAGTCATCATTCATTTCAAAGTCACTAAAGGAAAGAATTGCTCTAAATTCGAACCCTATTGACTCACTAAAGGTCATAGGGATCGGCAATAATATTTCCACTCGTATAACGGAAAGTTGTAACTTACAAATAAAATCACTAAATAGCAAATTCATTACAGATTTATGCTGTCTTGTATTAAATGATCTGACGGGTAATTTGCCAAAGTACCCTGTCAACATTACAAAACTAAATTGGCCTAATAGTATTTTATTAGCGGATCCTAAATTTTATGAACCAGCTTCTGTGGATATTCTAATTGGTGCTGACTTATTTTGGGATATCTTGGGCAATGAACAAGTATCACTTGGTCCCAGCTATCCAAAGTTGAGAAACACTCAATTGGGATGGATAGTGGCAGGTGCTATTAATCTAACTAATATTAATAAACAGACCAGCTGCAATTATTTTATGGTTGACACTCCTAAAGACAATAGTCTTGATACCGCACTCACCAAATTCTGGGAGTTAGAAGAATTGCCTGCTAAAAGAATTGTGAGTGAGAAGGACAAGGCTTGTGAAATTCATTTCATTAAAAATACATATAAAAATAAATCAGGTAGATTCGTAGTTAGATTGCCCTTGATAGATAGTAGTGACTGCCTTGGAGATACATCTAAATTAGCTAGAAAACGTTTACATTATTTGGAAAAAAGATTTAGAAGTAAACCTTTATTAAAAGGCGAATACAAAAATTTCATCAATGAGTATGCCCAATTGGGGCATCTTTCCCCGGCAGCGGATACACAAGGTACACTCTATTATCTATGCCATCACGCTGTCCTTAAACAAGATAGTGAGTCTACTAAATTGCGAGTAGTGTTTGACGGCTCGGCACCCTCATCTTCTGGCTATGCTCTAAATGACATCTTGTTAGCAGGTCCAAATATTCAAGACTCTCTTTTTGCCATTTTGGTACGCGCGCGACAATACAAATTTCTACTTACTGGAGACATAGAAAAAATGTATCGACAAATTCTGGTAGACGAAAGGGATCGCAATTTGCAGCGTATTTTATGGCGGGATGATGAGTCCCAGCCCATCAGAGATTTCACGTTAAACACTGTAACTTACGGTACGGCAAGCGCTAGTTTTCTCAGCACTCGGTGTCTGTGGCAGGTGGGTGAAGAGCAAAGTGATCCACTTATCAAGGACATTATTCAAAAGGATTTCTACGTGGATGACCTAATAACCGGAGCCAACAACGAGCAACACTTGCATTATATTCAGTGTTCCGTTGCAAGGGCACTTAAAAATAATTGTTTTAATCTAAGAAAATACAAGAGTAATAATACGTCAGTATTTGACAATCTTGAAACAGACAAAAACGAAAGCTTAACGATTAGTGAAACATCAAGCACTCTTGGTCTTGGATGGAAACCGTCCAGTGACGCAATATATTTTCCAATAAAACATGTTTCGTCGGATAATAAATCAGTTGTCGTGACAAAACGGTCAATTATGTCAAATACTTTCAAGATATTTGATCCCTTAGGTCTTTTGAGCCCGGTTGTGATAAAACCGAAAATTATCTTACAGAATATCTGGCGACTAAAGCTAGACTGGGATCAACCGGTTCCGGATGAAATAAGGGATGATTGGTATAACTTTACAACAAATTTACACTTTGTGTCGGGCTTTGTCATTCCTAGATGGGTTTTGATTGACGAATCGACCACAGTGGAATTGCATTCGTTTAGTGACGCTTCGCAGTCGGCTTATGGAGCATGTATCTATGTAAAGTCGTTCAATAGTAATAATCAATGTAGTGTCAAATTGTTGTGTGCTAAATCTAAAGTGTCGCCGTTAAAGCCCACCACGATTCCACGTCTAGAATTATGCGCCGCGCTACTTGCTGCTAAACTTTGCAAGTCTGTGTTAGAGTCATTACGATACAAACCGACTAGAGTAATACACTGGTGCGATTCTAGTGTAGTAATAGGTTGGATTAATAGTGACTTAACTAAAGTTAAAACCTTCGTAGCTAACCGTGTAAGCGAAATCGTAGACATGACGGTCCCATCTGCTTGGCGATATGTACCCACTGACGCTAACCCAGCTGATTTAATATCGAGAGGTATTAGTCCTAAAATTTTACCGACTATGGAATTGTGGTGGTCCGGCCCAAATTTCTTAATGAAAGATGAATCCGAATGGCCTATTTTGGATATTAATAAATTAAGTAACTTACCTGAGACAAAGGCACACACAATAGTAATAGACGAATCTATAATAATATTCGACAATTATTCATCATTTACAAAGCTGCAAAGGGTACTAGCATTCGTTAAAAGATTTATACACAATTTAAAACATTCTGAAGATAAACGATTAGGTATCTTATCAACGGATGAGCTGCGTGATTCGTTTCATTCACTTTGTATTATAGCTCAACGTGAGTCATTCAGTAAAGAATATGATATATTGTCAAAAGGGAAAGCACTGCCAACAAAAAGCAAAATTTTGGCCCTTTCCCCCTTTCTTGCCGAAAATTTAATGCGGGTAGGTGGACGCCTGGATGCCTCAATCTACTCGTATGAAAAGAAACATCCTATATTGTTGCATGCTAGGCATAGGCTTACAAAATTGTACTTTGAAAAGGAGCACATAAACGCCATGCATGCTGGCCCCCAGCTTCTGCTAGCCACAGTAAGGGAAGTGGTATGGCCAGTGGGTGGCAGACTTTTGGCGAGACGCACAGTAAACAACTGTGTGCGGTGTAGAAGATTAAGAGGCAAACTTTTATGCCCAAAAATGGGTGAATTGCCGTCACAACGTGTGAATCCGGACTTTCCATTCTTATCTGTAGGTCTAGATTTTGCTGGCCCCTTTTTTGTTCTAAATCGCAAGGGCCGCGGAAGTCGCTTAATTAAATGCTATTTGTGTATTTTCGTGTGTTTGCGCTATAAATGTGTCCACTTCGAAGCAGTTAGCGATTTAACTAAAGACGCGTTTATCATGACCCTCAGACGATTTATCGCGCGCAGAGGCAAGCCATTGGAAGTGTTTAGCGACAACGGCCGCAACTTCGTAGCCGCCGCGAAAGAAGTAGGGAGCTTTATTCAACAAAATAAAGAGCCACTATTTGACTTTGCAAGTCAGCAGGGAATCAAATTTAAATTCACACCAGCTTACGCTCCTCATTTCGGCGGAATTTGGGAAGCCGGAGTTAAATCCGCTAAACATCACCTACGTCGAGTGATGGGCAATAGTCATTTAACGTTCGAAGAGATTTCGACATTATTTGCGCAAGTGGAGGCGATTCTTAACAGTCGTCCCTTGTGTCCCTTGTCATCCTCTCCTAACGACCTCCTCTCCCTTTCTCCAGGGCACTTCATCATCGGGAGACCACTGACGGCACTGCCACCACTTGCATTGGCGGACAATCATGACAGCCAGAGGAAACGATACGACCATCTCGAATCGATAAGACACCACTTTTGGAGAAGATGGCAAAAGGAATACATATCGGAACTGCAGCAGAGAACTAAATGGAAAAGCAATACTGCACAGCTACATATAGGAGACATGGTTCTCATATCCGAAGACAACACGCCGCCATTATGCTGGCGACTGGGTCGAGTTCTGCGGCTGATACCTGGTCCAGACGGAATAGCCAGGGTTGCTGATATCCAAACAATGAAGGGCTGCGTTCGGCGGTCTCTAACTCGTCTTTGCCCTCTACCCAACGCTGATGAACTGCAGGATCGTTGAAAGGATTCTTTCAACGGGCGGGATGATGTTGCGGCGCCTAGCGCCTTTCCAATAGCAAACCACAACTACATGTATGATTGCCAGTTTAACAATCAGGCGTCGCGGAGCATGTTAAAATTGCTAGAAGGGTAGCCATTCATTCTCTCAGCGTCCGCTCCACTGTTAACACCCTATTTTAATTATATGTTCTTTTATTGTAAAAAAAGGGCTTTTTATTGCTCCATTGTGTACCCAAATATACAATAATATTTAAATATATATAATATTATAAATCGGAAAGTGAGTTTGTTTTTGTTTGTTTGTGTTTGTTTGTTCCACTTTCACGCCATAACTACTAAACCGATTGCTTTGAATTTTTGCAGACGTGAAGTTAGAAGTCTGGATTAAATAATAAGGTACTTTTTATCCCGGAAAAATTTGATATTCTCGAGGGAAAACGAAATTATTGGTATAGATGGCACTGTGTGCATTGGTATATTATTATGTCACAGGCTATTTTTTTTCTTTTGTGACGCGAGCGAAGCCGCGGGTAAAAGCTAGTTGGCTATAAATAAGACCTCTTGACATGTATGTTGTAAAAGCTGACTAAAGGCATAAATACTTTTGCCAATATTTTTTTATAGACCACAAAACAAATTTCCCCATCTTTTTTAAGTCGATTAATTAACATACTAAAACTTTTTCGGAAGTGTAACAAACACTTTTCTGAAAACCCGCATCTAAATCGGTTCAGCGAATCGCAAGATTATTGCGCACGAACAGGAGGTCTACTCTGATTCGACGAAAAACAAAGTTTCGTTCGAAATTTCGCAAGTTTCCTACTACGGTTCTCTTTCTTCCGAAACTTCGTCCGAACGAACGAACTTTAAGGCATTTTGACGTTAAACCCTACTCTAATTCATTTTACGAACGAACGAAAAACCGGAGTAGGCCTCCAGGTGTGGTATAGTTTTGACATTGAATAATTATTGAGATTTTATAGGATTGAAATTGCATTAACAGTGAGATTGGTTTCAAGAGTAAGCACCCTTTTTGGGTCTTGATTTCCGAGAAAAAATATTTTGGTATGTAGTATGACAAATTTAAAACTGTTATCCAGGTCCATAGAAGACTTCTAACAGACGATGGCTTCGGTCTAGAAGAGACTCTGAACGAGGAATCTTACGGAGTAGGTTTGGTCGTGAAGGGGAAACACAGGATACTCTTTGGAAACTATCGACAAGAAGGTGAGATACACTGCGAAAATATATTAGAATTAAAACTTACGTGAGACATAACATATCATAACATCACGTCTTTTATCCTCGCAGAGGTGCACATTATGCCGCTGTACAATGTAACACCCACTTTTCACAATTTATGTTATGAGTTCCATGTAATAGGGGGTGAGCCTATTGCCATACACCGGGCACAATTAAAGACTCCGTGCTACTACTGAGATTTTTTTTAAAAAACCCAGTAATACTTTGCCCGACCTGGGAATCGAACCCGAGAGCCCTTGCCCGGCAGTTGCACTTGCGACCACTCGGCCAATGAGGCAGTCGTGAGACATACTAAATTAATTAGGTATTATGTTTTCGACTTACGTAACTGTTTGACGTGGAACTCGACTAGTTTCAAGCCATGCTCAGCTTCAAGCCAGAGGCTCATACTTTATTTATTTTTAATTTAAAAAGCTTCATGCATAATGTGTACACACGGCTACACATCAAGCTTTACTTAACCAGTATAAACTGAACGTTAAATGTGCGGAAAGAATATAAAATAAACAATAAAAAAATAATGTTTTTTTCTTTGTTTTGTGAAATTTCTTTTTTATTTGTATTTTCGATTATTGAGTTTAGTTTAGCCAAGAATTTATTCATTCTTTTTTTTTACTTTATGATTTTGTTATAATTGGACGTTACATATATTTAGTTTAAGGCCTATCGCAATGGAGAAACCTGTCATGATAGTTTAGGTAAGGTTTTATATAAATAAATAAATAAATAAATAAATAAATAAATAAATAAATAAATAAATAAATAAATAAATAAATAAATAAATAAATATATATATAAATAAATAAATAAATAAATAAATAAATAAATAAATAAATAATAAAAATAAAAAATATTAAATCGTAGTTTTGTATAATTGCAGTGGATGACCAGACCTTCTCAGAGAGGATGTCTCTGTACTCGAGGAAGTGGCAGTACGAGCCCTGGCTGTTCCTGACTTCTGGAGAGAAGCTGAACAGGAGAAAATGGCAGAATGTTAGGAATAAGAGAGTGAGTTTGATTTTATTTTGGTTAATACTGTTTCTCTCTATTTGACTGCCTCATTCGCCGAGTGGTCGCAAGTGCTACTACCAGGGAAGGGATATTGGGTTCGATTCCCGAGTCAAGCAAAATATAACTGGTTTATTTTTAATCTCAGTTGTTGAGTTGTATCACGGAATCTGAAATTGTGCCCGGTGTATAGCAATATGCTCACCCCCTAATTACATGGGCCTCATAACATAAACAGTGAAAAGTGGGTATTACATTGTACAGCGGCATTAAGTGCCGTAATGTGCACCTTTGCCTACCCCTTCGGGGACAAAAGGCTCGATGTTATGTTATGTTAAATACTGTTTGTCATTATAGCGAATACCGATAAATAAAACCTAAGGACAACTCACGCGGGAGTATTAGATTAAATACTTTTTGACATATAGCGAATACCGATAAATAAAAACCTAAGGGGGAGTACCATGCATGGCGTAGCCATATCGTCTCGACCGGAGCAAAACCGACGTGAAACAACGTTTGTGTTGTGTGCTTGACGAAGTGAGCTTAACAGATTTTTTTATGGCATAAGCTGGTAAACGAGCAGACGGATCACCTGATGGTAAGCAATCGGCGTCGCCCATGGACACCTAAAACACCAAGACGTTACAAGTGCGTTAACGGCCTTTTGGGAAGTAAGAATTTGAGGATTGTGGCGGATTCGCGGATTGGGGACACTGGGGAGAGGGGTAATTGGGAATCTCTCCGGTAACCTCACTCGTACGACGAAACACAACGCAAGCGTTGTTTCACGTCAGTTTTCTGTTCGGCCGTGGTATCACTCCAGTCGGGCCCATTCGTGCAGAAGCATGGCTCTCCCACACTTAAATTCAATCTACATTCAAACGCACTTGTGACTCTTCTGGTGTTATAAGTGTCTATCACTGACAAAATGACTATCAGGTAATCTGTTAGCCGCTCTCTTCACAAAAAACTACCATATATAGAAAGAAAGAAAGAAAGAAAGAAAGAAAGAAAGGAAGAAAGAAAGAAAGAAAGAAAGAAAGAAAGAAAGAAAGAAAGAAAATTTATTTATTTGCACACCGTCACAAAGTACAATAACACGCAAAAAATTAAACATTGAAGACGGTGCAAAAAGGCCAGAGCTCAGCTTAAATGCCTTGACCCGAGTGCAAATTATATTTACCTGTGTACCCTTCAGTTTTCAGTGCTAAAGCTGCACGGTCTACCCCGCCACATCCACGTGCTGACCTTGGAACCCTGGAAGGCTGGCACAGTTCTGCTCAGACTGGAAAACACACTAGAAAGCCCTATACGAGGTAAGAAAGAAGAAAATCAAAGCAAATATGAAAAATAAAAGAGTTCTGATACATCCTTACTAATATTATAAATCGGAAAGTGAGTTTGTTTGTTTGTTTGTTCCACTTTAACGCCGTAACTACTAAACCGATTGCTTTGAAATTTTGAAGACGTAAAGTTAGAAGTCCGGATTAAATAATAGGGTACTTTTTATCACTGAATAATTTGATATTCCCGAAGAAAAACAAAAGTATTGGTATAGATGGCGCTGTGTATATTGGTATATGTCACATTGGCTTTTTATCCTTTTGTGACGCGAGCGAAGCCGCGGGTAAAAGCTAGTTTTATCTAATTTAAATTAAAACGTTAAAGAAACACGCATTTTATTAGACTACAGCTGTTTCCCGCGACGTCGTCCGCGTAGAATATGGATTTTAGAACTTAACGTTTTTTGTTTCAATTTACATAACATCATAACATCACGCCTTTTATCCTCGAAGGGGTAGGCAGAGGTGGCATTATGCCACTGTACAATGTAACACCCACTTTTCACTATTTATGTTATGAGTCCCATGTAATAGGGGGTGAGCCTATTGCCATATACCGGGCACAATTCCAGACACCGTGCTGCTATTATTTCAATTTTCCAAAACAAAAGTAGCCATGTTACTCCATAGTACATCAACTACCCGCCAAAAGTCTTGCAAAATCCAGCCATTCGAGAGATTTCCATATAGCCAATACAAACAGATAGACAGGCAGACAAAAATTAAAAAATTATGTTATTTTTGTATGTGTATCGTATGACTGCCTCGTTGGCCGAGTTGTTGCAAGTGCGACTGCCGGGCAAGGGGTCTCGGGTTCGATTCCCGGGTCGGGCAAAGTATTACTGGGTTTTTTAAAAATCTCAGTAGTAGCACGGAGTCTGGAAATGTGCCCGGTATATGGCAATAGGCTCACCCCCTATTACATGGGACTCATAACATAAATAGTGAAAAGTGGGTGTTACTTCTATGTGCACCTCTGCCTACCCCTTCGGGGATAAAAGGCGTGATGTTATGTTATGTTATGTTATCGTATGCATGTATTTTAATATTACAAACAGATATTCCAATTTTATTTATTTGTATAGATGACCAGGGGCCTTACTCTTAAATTCAATTCCGATTGCGATGTTTCGTACTCTTGAGTTGCAACACTGGCGCGAATTGCATCCGTATTGCGTGGATATTTAATGAATTATATGATACTGAGTATGGCTTTATATTCCCTACTTGGAATGCTATTTAAACAGCTACGATAGGGGTTGTATAGTTTTGACATTGAATGATTATTGAGAGATTTTAACATTAAAGAATAATATATTACCTGCCTCGTTGGCCGAGTGGTCGCAAGTGCGACTGCCGGTCAAGGGGTCTCGGATTCAATTCCCGGGTCGGGCAAGTTGCTACTGGGTTTTTATAAATTCTCAGTAGTAGCACGGTCTGGAATTGTGCCCGGTATATGGCAATAGACTCACCCCCTATTACATGAGACTCATAACATAAATAGTGAAAAGTGGGTGTTACATTGTACAGTGGCATAATGTACACCTCTGCCTACGCCTTCGGGGATAGAGGGCGTGATGTTATGTTATGGTATTTTATTGGATTGAAATTGTATTGATATTGAGATTCAAGCCACACTTTCTGCTACCAGCAAGTTCGTTTCTATTATGTTAAGCTTGTTCTTTCTTCAGAGAGATACAGAACGGATAAATCGGACGGTCCAGAAGATTACATAAGCAAGCCGACTCACATCACGGTGGAGCTGCGGAAGATATTCTTACAGATGAACATCAAGCTAGTCAGGGAGACCACCCTCGCTGCCAACCAGTGGCTGGATGATGCACGGCAGATGGACTGGAGTACTAGGTAAATAGAATAATTACTAGAAATTATTGGGTGGTATATAATACTTTAACTATAAATTCCCTTTTTTCAATCATAAATAAATATGACGCCTTTTTATACCCGAAGGAGTAGGCAGAGGTGTACATTTCGGCACTTAATGCCACTGTACAATGTAACACCCACTTTTCACTATTTATGTTATGACTCCCATGTAATAGGGGGTGAGCCTATTGCCATATACCGGGCACATTTCCAGACTCCTTGCTACTACTGAGATTTTTAAAAACCCAGTAATACTTTGCCCGACCTGGTTATCGAACCCGAGACCCCTTGCCCGGCAGTCGCACTTGCGACCACTCGGCCAACGAGGCAGTCTCTTTTCAATCAATATTTTCGAAATTACCACCAAAAATACTGAATTGCACACTAACCACAGATCCACATCTGTCCTAAATGTCTGTCCCCAAAGGACCGATGCCGATTCGGAGTCGCGGAGAACCTAACGGGTTACCGAGGCTCCGGCTCGACGTGCAGGAGAAGGAACGGGGTGGTTTTTAGTCAGTAAGAGTCTGACACTCCCTCCCGTCTCACCCAGGCGCAAGCAGTCATTCGATGATTTTCCCCCTTAAAAAAAAACCGACGGCAGCGCCATCTGCCGGGCTGATTTGTAAATCTATACCATCCAGGGCGCCACTCAAACGCGTATAGAAAAAAATATTTGAATCGGTCAAGCCGTTTAGGAGGAGTTTAAAGACATACACACGTACAGAAGAATTTTATATAATTATAAAGATAAAAAAATAAATAAATAAATTATAAATTAGGTATTTATTAAGGTTTTAATTAATAATTTTGTATAGAACTCCTCCTTTTTTTGAAGTCGGTAAAAATGGATACCAATGCGTTTATAACGATCATGATGATGTTGATTATATTTTCCAAATAATATATCTGTTCACAGATATGTATACAATGGAGCTGATGACGGTATACTGCCAGAAGACGCAGAAGAAACTGAAGATAAGCCACAAAAACCGGCAGACAATAAAGAGTCAGGTATCTATATAACCATTCATAAACTTATTCAATACTTAGGCTGCCTGTCCATTGACGCGAGAGGCAGCGGAGCGGAGAAACGAAGAAATATTAACCAATAGGATTGCATAAAATCCCCGCTCCGCTTAAATGGAAAAATATTTTTTTTTTTATATATATTTGATGGGGCGACGTTTGACCACTATCTCACCTGATGGTAAGCGATGATGCGGTCTACGCTGGAGCACGCCGTCCCATAAGCAACCTATTCACTCGGGCCTTGAAGACTCCCAGGTTATACCCTATTTGCGAGCGCGTTTAAGAATTCATACACTTTCGGAAGCGGTGCGAGGTAGCGGTGCGAGGCGGCGGAGCGGGGCAGCCGAGTCAGCCGGCGGCGGGGAAGCGGTCTCGGGAAGCCACCCTCCATTCAAATGACTCCTTGCATAAACTCCGCACAGACCGTTAATCCACTCAGCAATACTCGCTAGCTCCGCTCCGCTGCCACTCTTCGCGTCAATGGACAGCCTTAAGGCTAGACAAATGTAAACTAGGCTCTATACAGATAGGCTGATTTGTCGGACAGATGTTTCCATACAATAACATAACATAACAGCACGCCTTTTATCCCCGAAGAGGTAGACAAAGGTGCACATTACGGCACTCAATGCCACTGTACAATGTAACACCCACTTTTCACTGGTATTTATGTTATAAGTCCCATGTAATAGGGGGTGAGCCTATTGCCATATACCGGGCACAATTCCAGACTCCGTGCTACTACTGAGATTTTTTTTAAAACCGCATTAATACTTTGCCTGAACCGGGAATCGAACCGAGGCCCCTTGCCTCGCAGTCGCACTTGCGATTGCGACCATTCGGCCAACGAGGCATTCTCAATACAGTTCTCATAACCTAAAAGGAAACCAATTCTAATGGACTGGTATTGTGTGACCCAGCTTCACAGTTAATGCATTTTGCACCAGTGCAGACGACAGGGTAGACGACTAATTTTTATTTTAATGTCCGTCTGGTAGATTATTTAAAAACATTAGACACGTATTTTTTCTTTTCTCACAGAAACGAATAGTTTCGAAGATATATTGATTTGAAATGTCGCGTGACGTCACTTCTCAGTACATTTTATACTAAGAAATGACGTTTTAGCCCCCACTCATAAACTTTGATTCGTTTTATCTAAGTATTGTTTTATTATACGACAAAATAAAAAAATACGTGTCTAATATTTTTTCATTACCTAACTTACGGACTAATTATATTTTTAATTTTCATACCCTGTCATCATCCCCATTATTCTATTGTAATAAGACTAGAGCAAAGCAAAAAATGTATTAAATAACTACACTAACGATTTAATACTACACTTTTCAGAGGAAGACCCTGAGTACGGGCGAAAAAAATACGTAAGACAAAGATTTTCGGACAAATCTAGATCGAAAATCAAAACGCCTGTGTACGCAGACTACGATAGGCGAAAACGGTCAATTAACATGTCTGAAAACGTCATGGAAAACATAATTAATGACACATCGGTAGATGAAGTTAGATTTAATGACACAACAGAGTCACCAGCGAACGACACATCAATAGATTTGACGACAAAATTCGAGATGAATGACACAGTAAAGTTCTCAGAACAATTCAAGTTCTTGGTGACACAGAAGACACCAAAAATGGGTTTTCTGAGCAGAATGAAGCCTAGTAAGCTGGTTAATGAATGGGCGGCTGAGACCGAAGAAGTGGCGTCTTCTGAGGAAGATTTCTCTTCTAATTTGAAGAAGAGATCGCCTCGGAGAAGGAATGGTAGTAGAAGTTCTAAGAAGACTAAACCTGAAGGTGATTGTTTCTTGCTTTAGTTTATTCAAAACAATGTTATAATATCTTCTCTTATCTTATACTAGCTTTTACCCGCGGCATCGCTCGCGTCTCAAAAGGATAAAAAGTAGCCCATGTGACATATACCAATACACACAGCGCTATCTATACCAACACTTTTGTTTTCAATTGGGAATATCAATTTTTCTGGGATAAAAAGTACTCTATCATTTAATCCGGACTTTTAACTTTACGTCTGCAAAAATTCAAAGCAATCGGTTGAGTAGTTACGGCGTGACAGCGGAACAAACAACCAAACAAACTCACTTTCCGATTTATAATATTAGTATAATATCTTATGTTATTTACTGTTAAGCTAAATACTGATCAGAGTTAAAAAAATATTTTTAACTACGTTGCGATCAACAGGAGCTAAGCAGAGCGCGAAAGTAACTAGTATTAAATCTATACTTCTATACTAATATTATAAAGAGGAAAGATTTGTACCTATTTTTGTATGTTTGTATGTTTGTAATGAATAGGCTCAAAAAGTACTGGGCCGATTTAAAAAATTCTTTCACCAATAGATTGCATTCTTTCAATTCGTTATAGGCTACATTTCGTTTTGAAAAAAATTAGGCATCCTTGGTAAAATTTGAACAATGTAACCGAAGGTGTAGAAAAATGAGTCTTGAAATGTCTTTCGTCGAATGCGCTGCCGAAACTATTAGCGATAGAACAAAATAATGTAGGTACAACAATATTGAAGAACATCATAATGTCTACAAAAAACTTAGCGGTAGCATATGTCCAACTATTGTAGTTATGTCACTACAACAATCCAAATTTCCAAAAATAAATAATTGTCTACCCCGTGCGAAGCCGGGACGGGTTGCTAGTTAAACATATATTGAATTAAGTAATAGTGTCAATAAAACAATAATCCATTTCAAATCAACAGAAACAAGATCGGACGACGTGGACGATGGTATAACAAAATCGATCTACGAGATGTACTACAAACATCGCCCAAGGAATCAACACAAACCTTTTAAGAACTCCGAAGAACAAAGAATGAGAAGGAAGAAGGCAAGAAGATTACGCGACAAGAATGATTATGATTACGAATTGGAACCGACTACTAAAAGATACTCTAGAAACAAGAGTAAGAGAGTCAGGGGGAGAGGTTACTCTGCTGATATGCCGTTCTTCTTAACTGACGGAAAGAAGTTCAAAGGAGATAGAGATTATATGACTACAGACGACGGTAGAAGAATGAGGGAGATGGGCGCTGACGATGGACATGGTAAAGGTTTGTTGTTTTTTTTAAGAAGTTGTAAGGTATTGAGAAGAAGATTTTTAATGGTATAAGCCGGTAAACGAACAGACGGATCACCTGATGGTAAGCAATCGACGTCGCCCATGGACACCTGGAACACCAGAGGCGTTGGAAGTGCGTTACCGACCCTTTGAGATTAGGAATTTGAGGATTGTTAGGGATTCAGGGGCTGGGGAAGGGTGAGGGAGGGGAGGGGGTAATTGGGTCTCCAGTAACATCACTCACACGACGAAATACATCGCAAGCGTTGTTTCTCGTCAGTTTTCTGTGAGGCCGTGGCATCATTCCGGTTGAGTCGGCCAATTCGTGCCGTAATAATCCTAAGATCGGTTGAGTTTATTATAGGTAAATTATAATTTAATTATTAAAATCCAAAAGGTCAATTACTCTTTGCCCAACCGGGTGACAGAAATTATAACTAAACTTGGAGTTTCTTGCTCGTTCTTCTCCATTCGAATCTATATTTTGGAATGAGCAACTAACTTCACCTAGCTTCACTGACGGACTGACTGACAGACTATTATTTATTTTGTATTTGTTGACGTTTCAATATTACCAAATTATGGTTTAATTGAAATAAATACTTTGACTTTAAGTTTGAACTTGAAAGCCCCGATCTCACGAGCCACTTTTACGATCTCTACGAACTAGATTAGTCCGATCATCAAAATTAGGTTTTGATTTATTTACTATCAATTTCCAGAATATCCTGCCAAAACTACAGCACCTCGTTTGCATAAACGTAAGAACAATAGCGGCATGGAAACAGACTATTCTGAAGAGGAGGACCCTGATAACGTGGAGAAGGAGATCGGAGAGAGAAGAACGGAGAATAATAGGAGAAAGAGGTAAATAGACATTATTACAGAGTAATAACTAACCCCGTTGACCGAATTGTCGCTAGTGCGACTATCGGGCACTTGGTCTCGGGTCCGATTCCCGGGTCCAGCAAAGAAATACTGGGGTTAAAAAAAAATCTCAGCACGGAGTCTGAAATTGTGCTTGGTATATGGCAATAGGCTCACCCCCTATTGCATGGGACTCATAACATAAATAGTGAAAAGTGGGTGCTGTATTTTACAGTGCCGTAATGTGCACCTCTGCTTACCCCTTCGGGGGTAAACCCTTCTTATGTAATAACTAACCTAACTTATTTTAGCTAGCTGTCTTACGACGTTCGTTCTTGAACATTCTTTTAAGCGGTTTGCCCCGTTTGTTTATTTGTTTGTTTGGGTCCAAACTAATTGGAATTTCACCCCCTTCCTGACGACAGATCGATCAGGGTGCTTACTCTTGATACCAATCTCAATATCAATGCAATTCCAATCCAATAAAATCTCAATTATTATTCAATGTCAAAACTATACAACGACTATCGTAGCTGTTAAAATAGCATTCAAAGTACGGAATATAAAGCCAAACTCAATACCATTTAGTTTAATATCCACGCAATACGGATACAATGGGCGCTAGTGTCGCAATTCAAGAATACGAAATTTCACAATACCAATGTCGATCGATCGGTATTGGATTCAAGAGTAAGCCCCCAAATATTTGGTACACACTCTTAATCTTGATGACCATAATGTGGTCTATTTTTTTCCTAAAATATGGCTTATTTGGTAGAATAGAGCGGTTTAAAAATGTTCCTCATGTATTACTAACTAGCTTTTACCCGCGGCTTCGCTCGCGTCACAAAAGGATAAAAAGTAGCCTATGTGACATATACCAATACATACAGCGCCATCTATACTAATACTTTTGTTTTCCCTCGGGAATATCAATTTTTTTCGGGATAAAAAGTACCCTATTATTTAATCCAGACTACTTACTTTACGTCTGCAAAAATTCAATGCAATGGGTTTAGTAGTTACGGCGTGAAAGTGGAACAAACAAACAAACAAACAAACTCACTTTCCGATTTATAATATTAGTAAGGCTATCTTTAAAAAACGAGTGAGAGAACACTACCTTTCCTCCTGATATGTAAATTTCTTCATTTATATGTATAGTTTATATTTTGTATGTATTTATTTATATATTGTATGTAGTTATTTGGTTATTTATCTGTTAGTTTTAAGTCTGTTTCCTATCCCGATTTTCTATTTGTTACTACACACTGTGTCATTATATTATTATTACTTTTCCTGCTCCAGGTCCACAGGAAGAAATTCCAATAGGAATAAGTGGTACCTTTGTACTTTAATTTTATGTATGTGTTGTCCTTTATGTTGTATGTGTGTACATAAATAAATAAATAAAATAAATAAATAAGGATTGCAATAAGTCGACTATGTCAAAGATGTAAATGTTTTTTTTTTTCAGAACCCTGCCCAAAGACGATGAGGTGCAAGTGGAACCCGGTGGCTCTGAAACAATAGAGGACACAGACTTCGTGGTGACAATACGACCGACACAAATACGCACATTTGTTATATGGTTCGAGAATAATAGAAAGAATTATAATACATAGGGCTTAGATATGATGAATTAAACAAAAAAGTATATACCAAAGTCAAAGTCAAAATCATTTATTTCAATTAGACCAGGAAGGCACTTTTGAACGTCAAAACTCAATATTGAAATGTTTAAATTAATGTCAGTGTGTCGGTCAGTCCTCTAGTGAAGCTCTTTGCTCGTTCCAAAGTGTGGATTCCTATGCAGAAGAACGAGCAAGAAACTCCATAGGTTACTCTTTTCCAATCATGTTCACAATACAATTCTTGGTTACATTGTTTCGTTGAGTTCAATTATGTGAGGACAATGTAACACCAATATTCAGTCAATGAGAAAGAATAAGAAAATAACTTTGAGGACAGCTTTCCTCTAAATCTCTCTATCTATTAAAAAAAACGCATCAAAATCGATAACGCAGTTTTAAAGACCAAGTATATAAAGAAACAAACAGTGAGCAACTAATTTAAAAACTTATTTTATTAAAATTGAGTAATTAATTGGGTAGTTTCCTGGGTCAAAAATAAATTATTTTGATTTTTCAGTCCAATTAAATATTGTAAAATAGTTACACTTTCATTCATTGATTTGCCGATATACTTAATTTTCGATTTATTCTAGCATTTTTTTTAGATATAAGTGTGCTATTTGACGCGAAAATATGATGACGTCATAAGATGGGATTTCGTACAAAATTCATAGAACAGTATCGTTTTGACGTTTCGATAAAAGTATTGAATTTGACTAGTTGTCAACTACCGTATTATTAACGGAATACTGAACGGTCACTCAATTTTCAGTCGCGCTCAATTAAAATATAGTTATGATACTACAAATATGCGTTTATATATACTACAATGCGTTTTCAAATGACGCGTAGCTAGAAGGTAATAACCCTTTTAATTAGCGTTGGAAAAATCGGCCCTTAGTAGATAGAAAGGATATTCTTTTTTTTCACTATATTCACGTGAGTAACCCGAAATTTTTAGTTCATTATGAAAAATTATAGTTTTATTTTTGTATTTCAAACTGTAGAATAAGTTTAAACGCTGATATTTTGCACTATGAATCGGATTTGATAGAAACTTAGGTATATTTTGTAAGTCAGGGTTATCCAAACAAAAGCCCGGCTTGTTTACATGTGTCCCGCGACACACGTTATAATCTCAACATCTTCATCTTATGTGCAACAATAATAATAAAATTCAGTAAATGTAACGTAGGATATCTCACATACTCACCCTCGAGCCCCTTGTTGTTGCGTCAGTGCTGCCGAAGTGTCGACCTGCTCGCTGTAACCTCTCGCAATGAGTGTCGGGCTGCGCGATAGCTTCACGACCACAACCTACCCACACTATTTTAATTGTCGTGATATATGTGGTTTATAATGTTTTTATTTTTCTTCTCTTCGGTGACGGTACACGTAGCACTAGTTTATGTATGTATACTTATTTTTTATTTATTTATTTATTTATCGCACAATCGCACACAGAGGTCTGTGTTTAAATAATATCTTCCTTTTCTTTTATTGTTTTAACATGAGTTATGTATTCCATTATTTTCCTTTAAATAATTTTTCGTTGCCTCCGTCCGTGCGTCACTGCAGGGGTGCCAACTGAAAACCAGTGTTGGGTACTTACTGTGCCCAGCTTATGCTGAGTTGGCGGGCCCTTTCGTCGTGGACATGCTGCCACCCGGTCTCTTTTTATTTTGCTTTTTTTTATATAATGTTTTTTTTGTTTTATTGTTGTTTTTTTTTTTTTTTTTGTTATTTTATGTTTTTTATATTGTTTTATTTTCGGTGGTCCATGTCTGACGACGAATAAATTTATTTTTCTTTCTTTTCTTTCTTCTTTCTTTCAGTGTATGATTTGTATACAAGTTTTGTCTGTGAGCAAATAATACAATGTTAAGTATTTGTAAGAAACTGTCAAACACCGCGAGGACACCGGTGACCGCAACCTATTGTTCTTTAATTTGTGTCTTTAATGACGGTACTCAAACTTAAACGGTCAAACACCGCGAGGACACCGGTGACCGCAACCTATTGTTCTTTGTGTCTATAATGACGGTACTCAAAGGTTTAAACTGTCAAACACCGAGCGGTCGCCGGTGACCGCAACCTATTGTTCTTTAATTTGTGTCTATAATGACGGTACTCAAACTTAAACTGTCAAACACCGCGAGGACACCGGTGACCGCAACCTATTGTTCTTTGTGTCTATAATGACGGTACTCAAAGGTTTAAACTGTCAAACACCGAGCGGTCGCCGGTGACCGCAACGTATTGTTCTTTAATTGTGTCTATAATGACGGTACTCAAAGGTTTAAACTGTCAAACACCGCGAGGACACCGGTGACCGCAACCTATTGTTCTTTAATTGTGTCTATAATGACGGTACTCAAACTTAAACTGTCAAACACCGCGAGGACACCGGTGACCGCAACCTATTGTTCTTTAATTGTGTCTATAATGACGGTACTCAAAGGTTTAAACTGTCAAACACCGCGAGGACACCGGTGACCGCAACCTATTGTTCTTTAATTGTGTCTATAATGACGGTACTCAAACTTAAACTGTCAAACACCGCGAGGACACCGGTGACCGCAACCTATTGTTCTTTAATTGTGTCTATAATGACGGTACTCAAACTTAAACTGTCAAACACCGCGAGGTCACCGGTGACCGCAACCTATTGTTCTTTAATTGTGTCTATAATGACGGTACTCAAAGGGTAGCCCGCGAGGGTATATAGTTTGGACAACCCTGTTGTAAGTAATAATGTGAATAAAAATAAGTATATATACTGAATCTATTTTATTTTTATATCTGATATACTACACAGTTTAATTGACTATACTTGCCATTTAAGGTTAAATAAAATAAGCTATTTTAATATTTAGGCTACATTTGATTTACTCGTCTATTTTTACACTGTAATTAATGTTTAAATATAAGTTATTATCAAAATATACGTTTAGATACAGAGGTTTATTTTTTAATTATTATACACATGTTCATGGTGCCCCCGGTGGTTCAAGATGCCCGGTTCCCATGCATGAGGAGGCGGGTTGCAATGGCAATGTGACTTTTTCCGAGTTTTATGTAGGTACTTTCTAAGATTATCTAGACACCATTGACAAGAAAGACATCGTGAGGTAACCTGGGCTTATAATTTCTAATTATAAGTTTGAAATCGCCAATACGCATTGAGCAAGCGTAGTGATTAATGCTCAAATCTAAGCTCCTCCGTGTGAGAATAGTGCTTTGGTCAGCAGTGGGTTAATAATAGTGCGTAATTAATAGGCTGTTGATGATGAGATACATTTAATAATTCATATCGATTTTGCGGTAAAACGATATGAATTATTACGAATTTCTCATTGTAATTGTTCACCCCTCGAAAAAGGATGATGACAGGGTATTAAAATCAAAAATCCGTCGTAAATTTAGTCCGTCAGTTAGGTAATGAAAAAATATTAGACACGCATTTTTTTATTTTGTCGTATAAGAAAACAAAACTTAGATAAAACGAATCAAAGTTTAGGTATGAGAGCTAACTACGTCATTTCTACGTATAAAACGTACAAAGAAGTGACGTCACATGATGTTTCAAATCAATATACCGTAGAAAGTATTCGTTTCCGTGAGAAAATAAAAAATACGTGTCTAATGTTTTTAAATAATCTACCAGACGGACATTACAATAAAAATTAGTCATCTACACACTATTCTAGTATTGGAAAGTTATGTTACTTACGAATTTATGTATGTCTTTACTATTCACGGGACACGGGTCCCGGTCATTTGGGAGGCGTACGAGGGCCCGAAGCCAACTGCGCAGAGGCCCTTTAGACAACTTTAATATAAATGTAATGGACACACAAACCGGAGACTATCCCTGTATGCACTATGGAAATGCACCCAAGGACAGTCCCCGGTTAGTGTAGAACTATTGTGGATAATGGAAAAAAGGTAGGACTATGGATGGGTTGCTGTGGAATGGTAAATTAGGAACTATGGATTATTTACGATTTTATTTGTAAATAAATATTCAATTATAGTGTTTTATTTTGGTCTTTATTTACGTACTAATTTTTACCCGCCTTTTGACATTTGCAAGTATATTGGGATAACGCTTAAAGACACCGTCTTTAGCTTATAGGCACTCGGGACCCGTGCCCAGAGCCCCCATCCTCAGTGCCCCGATGGACAATTTCTACGACAGACATATACCCGCTACACGTTACGTGGCAACCGGTTGCGTGCATCATGGAGCGGGTTCCCGAACGGAACCAAACTTTGTGATCCACAAATTGTTGTTTCGGGTCTGGGTGTCATGTGTATTTGAACTTGTAGGTTTGTAAATGCACCCTTGTGGGGCAACGTTATTAAAAAAACATTTTTTTATGCCATAAGCCGGTAAACGAGCAGACGGATCACCTAATGGTAAGCAATCGGCGTTGCCTATGGACACCTGGAACACCAGAGGCATTACAAGTGCGTTACCGGCCTTTTGGGGATTAGGAGTTTGAGGATGGTTGGGGATTCAGGGATTGGGAAGGTTGGGGAAGGGGAGGGTAATTGGGCCCCCAGTAACCTCACTCACACGACGAAACACAACGCAAGCGTTGCTTCACGTCGGTTTTCTGTGAGGCCGTGGTATCACTCCGGTCAAGCCGGCCCCTTCGTGCCGAAGCATGGCTCTCCCACACTTGAAAAAGCGGGCCCGAAGCATTGTGTCCCAGAGTGCCGCAGCTTAGTGTAAGATGGCTTTGCTCTAAAGTAGCTAGTGTCCGACCGAAGCTTCGGCTTAGGCTTCATCCACCTTCGGCTAAATCTTCTGCTTCGGCCAAAAATTTACCGAAGGTTTGGCCGAAGCCGAAGGTTTGTTAGTTGTCAAAATTTTAAATTTACTTCTCCTTCGGTCGGACACTAAAAATAGCGTGCTAGAAGGCGTTCTATTGAGCATGTTCAAAAATATTCAAAAATCTAACGCCTGTCAATTCACAAGCATG